TTTAATTTCACAACAGGCACCATTCTAACAACAAAAAAGTTTTAGCTTCACAGTCCCTTTAAAAATAAAATACAGGCTTAAGTGGTAACAAATGGAGATATTGGCAAGACTCCTTCAGAGGTCTCTGTATTCCATTTGCAAAGTGGGTGTTCATACTGAACTGGGTAATTAGGTGATGTGATAATTCCACTTGGTCCACGTAGGTTGGAACCACATGTTCTAGCTAGAAAACCAACATAACAAATAAATTAGATTTTGCAGTGCAAAGTAATTTTGGAGAAATTATTTTCAAAATTGCTTTATTATTAAGAACATTCTATTGTAAAATAATGAATATTAATATATACTCTATAATAAGCTGCTTCTGAAAAAAATAGCTAGAATCATGAAATTCCTTGACCATGACTTGAAGTAAAAAAGGTAAAAGTACTTATCTGTAAAAACACAACAAAAAAACATCTTTTAACAGCAAGTACCAGCAAATACATATCTTTATTCTTAGGTGAATTACTAGCATTACATTATATTTTTGGAGACTTTTGTTCAGAGAAGGCCACATAGCAACGGAAACTGCTGTCATTGCCCACTGCATAAAGAGATGGTGCTTCATGATTGTTCTACCAGCTTCTGGGCAAGAGAGAAGAAAAGTTGGAATGTGAATGTACTGCTCCATGTAACCTAAATTTCAATGGTCTCCCAGCCTCTCCACCCCCACCCCGCCAAAGATAGGGGAAAGTGAAAAAAAGACAGTAGCCTGAGACATGGGAGACTTGGATTTAATTTTGTGTTCCAACACAGACCTCCACTATTCTTCGGTAAACTTAAAAATGAATTGAGAATTTTTTCAAAATTTCCTAAATGACTTGGACATGAATAAGTCTAACTTTTGAGGGTGTCTTTGATCCATTTTTTCAGAGACTTCTAAAACAATTATGTACAGAATACTCAGTGAAATCAATGGAAGCTAGGTACCTAGGTTAAGTGGGATTTTTATACATACCCAGGAATTTACCCTCCCAGAGAAGAGCCATAGTCAGCATGCTACAGAAGCACTTTTCTCTTGCTTGTGCTTCTTCTGGCTTCATGACTCTTGCTATCCTCCTGCCTCTACCCCACCTCCATCTGCACAGCTCCTACTCCTGTTTCCACAGTCCTTGACTTTAAGAGGAAGAGTAGAGAGTGCCCTCACATTAATTTGAGTAATAGATTAATTTTTAGTGCACTTTCCTGGGAAGTGGAATGTAAGTTTAAATCCTTGTCAGGCTGAGTAGGGCCTAAAATCTGTGTGCTCTATTTCTTGGGTAACTTCTCCAAATATAAGTTATTGGTCAAAAGTAGATGATACATATGTATAGGTAGTTTATAAAAATATGAATATGAGCAAGCTAAGCCTCCTGGGTTTAAAACCAGAAGTGGTCAGATTTAACTGTACCACAATCGAACTGCTATGAACAGTAATATGAAATAGAAATAAAAAAAACCCACATGTAGCAGTTTGGTATATGCCCACTGTACAATGAACTGTGGTTTCTTAATTATTAAAAATAACAAATGTAGAATCATGAAGTTTTAACTACAAACATTTTGGTCCCAAAGTCTAGTAATCATAGTCATACAAACTAATCATGGCTCCATTGCCTTGAACAGCCAAAAAATAACATTCATTGTAGCCTTGTTTACATTGTAGCATATTTTCTTCAGAATTCTGACTACATTTTGGTTTTACCCCAAAGGGGATAAAGCTTGTTGTGTATAAGCATGAGAAAATTCATTAACTTAGCCAAAAATTGCTTAATTGTAATGTATATATACATATATTTATATATACATATGACAAGCATTTTTTGGATATGTTAATTGATTTTCTTATGCTTATACATAACAAGCTTTATACACAACAAACTTCAGCTAAGTTAATATATATATTTGGCCCCAAAGTTATCTCATGTCTCTTCCAGCCTCTCTACCTTTCCAAATCTATGCCCTTCTTGGCAGAGGTATATTTCTAAATGAAAATGTATATGCAAATTCTATATTTAAAATTCTAGATTTTTTTCATGTGCCTCAAGCTTTAGAAATTTGCACATTTAAAATCAAACTATCATGATAATTGGAAAAGTTGTGTGTTTCATTTAATTATAAAATAAAATAATGAAATAAACTCAGGGGCAGTTTGTATCTTTTAGTTACTGCTTATCGTTTAAGGAAGTGATAATTTGTATCTGCAGTTTAGGTCCTGCAGCAGGCACCCAGGGGAAAGCATGTCATGGCCTTTCTCACAAAAGTGCAGTTGTATGTCTTGCTTTAGAGCCAAACAGTTCCACTATCTGATAAGGGGGGGAAGAGTGGGCCAAGTGTCATGTCTTCCTGATCTTTCTGGGACATCATACAATCTAGCTGTATATGAATTCATAAAAAAAACAAAAGAGCACAGTCTGAAGTTGAAACTACACCTAGAGGCCTGCTTAAAACCCAAGCCAATGCAAAATGCCACTGCCTACATATTAAGCAGATTCATGTTGCAGGTGCATTATTCCAATGGTATTGAACCTACAGAAAGTATCACTATAATCTGAGACAGAAGTTCAATAGACCAGTTTAACCTAAATCAGTTAAGTCTGATACTGAATCCACCAAAGTCTATCTTAAACTGGGTTTGGCCATTTTGAAAGCAGTCTATGTGCACCAAACTTCTCTTCTGTTACAGGTTTAAACTGGTTACAAAAAACTTACACCACTGTATGTATAATTTCTGTCCTCAGCCTAGACTGGAACAGATAGTAGCCTAGATTCTTTACTATAAATAGGACTTAGCTGCAGACCAGGTGTTCTTCATGACAGTTCATCAACTTTGAAAAATCACTGCCTGCATTTGTCAGCCATAACCCACATTCATTCACTTCTCAGACTCAGGGCACAACTCCATCTTCTTCTCTCAGCCTTTAGAGGATGGTATGGGCTGAGGATTGCAAAAGCTTATGTTTATCTTAGTTTTGTCCGAGGCAGTGGACAACTATGTGGCAAAGTGTGATGAGCAGTCCTTTTTATTGCATTTTTGTTGTGTAGTTTAATTTATATGATGGGTGGCCAGAATATTGGTTCTGTGAAAGGTCAAGTAGTTTGCCTATCTTTGTCTATATAAATAAATAGATTTGGAAACCATCAGGAAGCTGGAGCCAGTTTTAAAGAAAGGTTGTTTGCATTCTACCTTTTTATCCTGTTTATTCACAAATACATGTCAGATGCATCTAGCTTCTTAACATCTTAATTTCAACTAAAATATCAGTAACCTCTGTACAATCAAAATAACCATAAAACAAACAAAAAAACTCTATAGCTTCACAGACACTGTCTGTCATATGATCCCTAAAGTGCTGCTCTGTATTTGAGGCACCCACACCACATCGATCTTTATTTTTGGAAGCACATCTAAATAGATTATATTCTCTTTTATACTGAATTATGTTACTTTTAAAGGACTCCACAAGATTCAGGTAGAAATGTTTTAGTGGAAGTAGAGAAAGCATGATGGGGATATTTACAGATCTACATAAGCATGGAAATTATACAGAGATCAAGTTAGATTTAAAATGTGTTTTAAAAACAAATGTTAAGAGAGTCAACGGAAATGTTGGATTTTGAGCACTTTGAACAAATATTTCACAGAGCAGAGTAATAAGGTACTTCCTTTGGAACATACGGACTACTTGATGAATTCAGAAATAAGCACAACCTGAATGATACTGGCAAACTGTAGTAAACCAAGAAAAGTCCAACAAAGAAATCAAAGGCAATATGAATATATTATACAAAAGTAAAAGGAATTACTGAGATTTTTATTTTGAGACAGAATTAAAGTGCAACCTATACTACCCACTAGTAACCCAGCAGTACCCTTATGAGTCACAATTCCTGTTCTTTTCTGCTGCACTGGCCAACAAGTTGGGCTTAGGAAATGAGTGGAACCAAGACTTTGTCAACTTTCCAACAGTCTCCAGCCAAAATTACTTCAGAAGCCAAAATGTGGGTATCCCACACATGGGTATAATTACATTTTTATTCCCTTTTTCTCTTCCACTCCCTCCCCTCCCATGGCTGCCCCCGCACACCCCAGCTCATTAATTTAAAGAAAAGCCCCAGTCCTCACTGGGTTCTACCAGGTGGGGGGAGATCCCTGCTGCCCCCCACTACCCCATGCTGCATGGGGGGCTCTGCATAAGCCCCCTCAAACCCCTCCTGTTCCCCCCCCTCAGCTGCCCTGCCTGCCGGGGCTCTGGTCCTTTAAGAAAAAAGGAAAGGGGAGAAAAGCCCCCGGGCTCCCCACTCCTGGTGCAGTCTCGGGGCTTTGGGGGCTCATGCAGAGCCCCCATGTGGCAGGGAGCAGCGGGGATTGCCCCCACCGGCAGAAGCGGTGAGTCTGGGGGTTTCTTCAGGTTTTTTTTTTCTTTAAGGGCCAAAGCTGTCCCCTGCGGGGCACCTGTGGCAGGGATTGGGGAGTGGGCGGGAGGGTTTGGGGGGCTCAGGCAGAGCCTCCCATGCAGCATGGGGCAGTGGGGGGGCAGCAGGGATCACCCCCACACCTGCCAGGACCTGCTTAGCCAGGGCTTTATTTTCTCCTGAAGTGCCAGGAGCTGGGGTGAGTGTGGCAGCAATTGCTGGGTTGGGAGAGGGGCGGGGGATGGGTTGAATCGCTGAATTGATTCACTGTCCCGTGAACTGGCTGAATCCAAATCTAAAGCGAATACTAGCCACTTCACACAAGCCTACTGGCCACTTCCTGCCAAGATGACACAGATCCATTCATTAGATCAGGGTCCTACCCCGCAACCATCTTCCTACCCACCTGACTGTCTTGCAGTTAAAACCACAGTCTTCCAACTTTGTCATGAGAACATTGTGGGATACCAGATTGAAAGCTTTTCGGAAGTCAAGGTATATAAGGTCAACCTTCTCTCTCTTATTCAGGTGGTGAGTCACCTGATCATAAAAGGAGATGAGGTTGGTAAGACAAGACCTGCCCATGAAGAAGCCATGCTGGGCTGTCTTTCAGAATCCTACCTTTTGCAAGCCTACCACACATAGACTTCTTAATGAATTTTTCCAGGATTTTCCCTGGGATAGAAGTTAGGCTAATTGGCCTATAGTTGCCCAGTTCTCCCCCCTTCCCTTCTTAAAGATGGGCACAACATTGGCCCTCATTCAAACTTCAGGCCTGCTATCCAA